TAGCATCCATGCTAGCTCTGTAAACAAACAAGCCGGCTGATGAGACGTCACGTCTTTTACTGCGCATTCGTGTCACATCAGTGCTGTGGGGCGTTCACACAGGGGTCTGATGCAGGTCACATTTAAAATGTAATGTGAACGTTCACACAAAAAGATCGGATTTTTTCAAAAAATCGGAACTGAGCATTAAGACCTGCAGTGTGAATGTAGCCCAAGATATGTTTTCCCCAGAAAGAAATGTTTATCTTCTGTGACAGAGACCTGATAATCTTTGTTGTGACTAGAACTCACAGCTGAATTGAGACCAGTAGAATCCAGTTTCTACCTGACGCTCGAAGCATCAGGACCTCAGCTGGACGAGCTAACTATCTGAGGGAAAATGTAATTTTTAATTACTGCAAACAAGAAGTTCTTGCCGACCCGGTGGGGTCTGATATGGCTGTTTTGTGATGGAAAGCCATGCCGATCAGGGAGTCCTGAGTCCATGAACCCTGCGTTGTGACCTTAAGGGCAGATTTGACTCAAGCTGGACTTCAGAGAAAGGGGTCCAGCACACCGAGCCTTTTCACCTCCTATGAGACAGCTGCATGTCTCCGACTTGGGTGAGCTGTCGAACTGCACCTAAACAAGGCATGACGCGTGGTTCACAGAGCAATTCTGGTTAACAGCCAAGGCAACCTCTTCTCATCTGCAATAAAATTAAAATGACCATTAATTAATCTGATCAAGATCTTAACATCTTCTTTTCAAATTGACAAAAAAACACTTAGAGGTTTTAACCTGGGTCACTTGTCATTTAAGTGATAGATGAAAACATTCTCTTGTGGGGAAAAAAATGTATTTTCTTTCCATAAAGGTTTATTGCTTGTCTTTCATGTTATTTTTACTGTTTTTATTCATGATTCAATTAAATTGATTTTTCTATTTTTTTGTAAGATATTACCATAAAAGACAAAGCTGATTCCTCATCTTTCAGTATTTATGCATGAAATAAGAGTCCCCTGCTTATCTTAAAATCTCACTTTAGTAAATATGAGTCGGATTAAAAAGGGTGAATAAATATCATCAGTTAAAATCTGGTGTGGTACCCCAACAGATTATAAAGTGTAGTGAGGCAGAAACATTATCACCCTTGTTTCTCCCCTACCACTCGATACAGTAACATGGAGTTTTTGCTGCTGCTTTTATGTTGATTTGGTTCAATAGGCGTGTGTTGTCATAACTGTTGTGTCATCTGATGGCTAAGTTGCTGCTTGAAGCTCCTTTTGTTTTCACTAACAGCATCTTTTTTATGTCTTCAAGGCGAGAGATGATGCCCATTCTGTCCTTGATCTTCTCAGCTCTCTTTATTCTTTTTGGCACCGTTATCATTCAAGCGTTCAGGTACGAAAATATGAACTATTATATATTGAAACTAAAGATTTTATTTTCTTGATGGCAGATCTGCAAATGAGAGTTGTACTTGTCTCTTGATGATTTTATTTATTTATTTATTTATTTTACTTTTTAGGCTTTGCTTCATTATTCTCAAAGCTTTCACTAATTGTGATTTGCTGTATGTTTTAGTGAGTCAGGTGAGAGCAAACTTCGCAAACCCAAAGAGCAACCCACGAGACAAGCTGAGGAGGACACATCCAGCAGAGCAAGTACTTCGAGGTAATCTTGTACACAAAATACTTCGACAAGAATTCTCTGGCGCATATGGATGTATTACTTTTAGATTTTCTGGATACGATGTATATAATTTTGTAAAATAAAAAAATAGAAGAATTATGGTCCCGTCTGATGGATGTTAAATTAAGTGTATTGCATTTTAGAACAGGACCATAGTGGTGGGTATTTGTTTCTTATACCAAACCAAATGCTCTTTCTGTTCAGAACTTCTCAAGTTAAAAACATTCAGTTCAATTCAATTCAATTCAATTCAAAAATACTTTACTGATCCCAGAGGGAAATTAGTTGTTGTTGTACCTTGTGAAACTTTAAACTCAAAAACTTCTGTTATTAATTAAAAAAAAAAATTAATATGTCAAACTTTTATGCACAGCTGGCTCATTCGTCGCCCTATACTGTTAGAGTTTGAGTTTTATATCACGTCTTTGTGTTACAGTTTATTAGATTATTTTTATTGATTAAATATCAGTTGCTCCACAGAATGTTTCTCCAACCTTTAGATCTAATTGTTGCCCTTGAGGATATCGCTGTTTTAGATCGTCTCAATTTATAACAGCAAGTCTTGGCTCATGGTTTTTGTTAGCAGTCTTTACTTTCTATCTTTCTCTGGTACAAGTTGAGCTGCTGCAGTCAGAAATGCCTCACCTCAGTCACACTGCATGTTTGGCTCCACCTCGTGGCGACTGTGGTTCCCTTTCAGTCAATTCACTCGGTACAACATCATGTATGGGAACCACGCCCCTGCGTGTCCTGGCTGAAGCCACCTCTAATCACGCCTTTAGGCAGGTGACGTGATGACGACAGATGTCAGGCTCCGCCTGCACATATAAATATTGTCGCATCACCGTCACTCCTTAGTTATACTGCTCTTCACCGAGCCCAGCTGTGCAGCGGGGCCTCCATGTGTTGTACCTCGTTCCTTTCCTTCAGGGAACAGTAGTTATATGCATAACATTACGTTCCCTTTCAGTCAATTCACTCGGTACAACATCATGTATGGGAACCACGCC